CCCCGAGTATTAACGTTTGGCGTAGGATTCGACAACAGGAAGGAAACTAGCTTCGAACCTACAAATCAGGGTACGTCCTCAGCTAGTCGTATGATATTTACATCCGTTGACGAGACCTTTGCAGCTGATTACAACCATGGCTCTGCGGACAACATCGACATCATCACCCAGTTCATGTGCGACAATCTCGTAAACACCTGCGGTGCCGACGCTACTGCCCAGGCCACTTGTGCAACGGCCAAGGCCGCCGCCGACACCGAGCCTGCACCTACCGGTGCACAGGCTGACGCCTTCAACGCTGTCTTCGGCATCACGACGAACTTTGCTGCGATAACCGCCCTCAATGACCAGGGCCAGCCCATTGCGGGCACTGGTTCCGCCGCTGCCAGTTCTGCTCCGGCAGCTGCCTCAGCTTCCGCCGCCGCTAGTGCGGCCACAACGTCTGTTGCCGCTGCGGCCACGGCATCTGCCGCCCCCGCCAGCGCGTCCAGCGCCAGTGCTACGTCGTCCGGCCAGAACCTCCAGACTTTCACCGGCGCCCTTGGCGGCGTCTCTGCGCCAGCTGTGACCGCGGCCGGCAGCCAGTTCCAGGTCGAGGGCAACTCGCTCTTCAACGACCTTCCCTCCGCGCTTGACCGCTCGTGCAGCGTGCAGAACAACCTGTGCGCGGATGCCGCGAACGCGTCGGCCAACCAGAATGGCCTCACCGTCGGCGCGTGCTCGACGCAGCTGACAGCTTGCAATGCCGCGTAGTAGTAGAGTTAGGTGTTCTGCGTCATCTCGTGTAGTTTTATTCGTGTCGCTCCGCACTTCCGACAATCAAACAGTCTGTGAAGGAATCATGATCGAGTCTGTGTTATGTCCCAGCCCTAAGACGTATCAACAGAGCAAAAGTCGATGGACTTCAGACATCAAATCAAGTGCATGTAGTTTGAGCTGGAGGCTGCAGAGCTAGGGACGCAACGACGCGATCCTGAGAGGATGCGTTGGACGTCGAGTCGAAGCTGCATAGTGGACAGTATTTGAGTGGCCTGGTATTGGTAAAAAGTTTGTGAGATGCAAGAAGCGCCCGACCGACGGTGTACCTTTGTCTGATACTCAAGTCTACACGCAGTCCTCCATCTTATTTTGAGACACAAACAGTCTGCGTGGCCGCGCCGCCACTGGAGTCGTTGAGTGCGCCAGTGTCCGGCTCTCGTGAGTTGTCGCTATGCCCCGGCGAGCCGAGCCACCCTCAAATTAAACTGAAACTGGAGCAGCCATGAACTACCTTGAAGCGGTAGATGAACCAGGTAGAATGCACAGTGCAAGCGACACAAGCGGCGCGGATCCTCCACTAGAAGAAGCACTCTTCCTCGAGAGATTGTTATTTCTCTACGAACAAAGCCTGAACGAGATACGTACTTTCGCTCGCCGTGAAGGTCGTTCGTATGAGGAGGTAAGAACCAAATATGCATGGTAGACGCGAAGGTTGAGGGTCGAGGACCTCTTACAGGTCAAGAGGCATATCTCTCAATTACACTGCCGGTCTCTGTTCGAGAGTGGCAGCCCTGATAGCAAAGAAACTCGTATGTGCATAATGAAACACGCTTATTCGACGTTTCCTTGATGTACTCGCTATTCTTACAGGAACAGAGATTCTCAAATCAGTCTCTCTTCAGCTCGAATCTTTACAGAATATCTGTGGTCTGCAATCTTTTTATCTTGCCGTCGACCCTGAAGATTTGTCCGACCAGGGGTTCCTTGGTGGAACACTCCTCGGCCGAGAATTCTGGCGAGGATATCGCGGGTGTGGCGAGCCTGGCGCAAGAGCGTTCAAACAGTTTTTCCAGAATGCTACGACTCTGAGAACGGAACTCGCGGCCTTACCACAACCGTCAACATCCGTACGGGGGTCTGCTGCACAGCCAATACCTAGCATACAGCCGGCGGGTGGTGCGGCCTTGAAGAAGTCGCCCGCAAGCGCGGTGAAGGCAGAAGTGTACCACGCTGTGCGAAGTGCTGTAAGGTACGCAGCTCCTCTATGTATATCCCAATGATGTGCATACCTTATGTTCGGCTGGTAGGGCTGCCTCAGGTGTGCGCAACGCCGAAATGAAGTGGTCGAACCACTCCAATTTGAGCACCTATGGCGTCGAGCTGGTCGGCTGGCCGTCAGATGTGCCGATGCGCAGTCCGTCTGCTCTTTTGGTGGCGCAGAACCAGGCATTGTTAGATGCCCTGCACATCGGCAGTATGCGATTCCAGCGAATAGGGCAGGTAGACATGGCAGCTTCAGGGATACTAGGTCCGTTTGAAGAAGCGAACGACGATGCACTGTTTGAGGATACCATTGATTTTACTGGAGCTTCAGGAGACGACACCGCTGATACCAGGGAAGAGACTAGAAAGCGTAAAAGAGGGTCAACCTGAGATGTTGCTACGAACAACGTCCACGTGATACATTTAGGCTGTGAGAGTAGTATGTACATGAGGACTATGCATAGCATCGATCTAAGCATGCTCTCCGAACGGATATAGATGTATCTGAATTCCTTTCGTATCAAGTACGGATAGTCGCATGTTTAATCGCACTCGAATGTCGTCCCATTGATCTCCATGACCTTCGACCTCAAAGATGAGATCGCGCAGAGCTGAGTAGCGTCGATTAGAGAGGATAACAGATAAGCCCTCAAGGTTCAGCTTATCCTTGAGATCAGCAGCTGATATCGAAAATGTCAGCTCGGTGAGATACCGTGAATTTGCTTTGGAAATTAAAATGAGGATCCACGATAACGAAGGTATCGCCCAGAAGCGCGTAGCATTGACGCATTGCACATGCAGCTTCCGTAGACTGGTCAACGGCTGCAAACTGAGCTCCGCATTCTTAAGAACAACTGAATATCTATCAGGACGCATTACACCACGTGAGATAATAGTACACACCCGATGGGTCTCGTACTTCGGAGAAGCCTATGGTGAGCTGATGGAGCGTCGGTCCGGCCGCCTCAAGCAGCTTCTGCACAGCGATCGCACTCGCGTCGCTAGACAAGTAACACGACAGTGAGGTCAATGATGTGTATCGTTCCTGATCCACCAGCCAGCTGATGACGGTGGTAGCGTCAATTTTCCCAGTGAGGACAAGAGACTTCAGTGAGCATGGTCGCAGGACGATGTTCCCTTCCGGCTTATGATAGAGCGGACGGAACCATTTAACGCCATCCATGCGGAGGTGTCCAACCTTGGTGAGCGCACGAGGCAGGGTAAGGAGATCGCCAAACGTCTCGGAGCGGCATGCGTCCAGATTGACAGCGGTGACTTCGCCAAAATGGGCACCGAGTAGAGCTGCGAAGTGTGGTGTGATTGGTAGGGAGAACAGTCGCAGGGAGATGACTCTGGACAGGACGGTGGGCGACGCGGGTAGTATGTGCTCCAGCCAGACATCGGCACGGTGAACGTGTTCTTTGCGTGTTGCTGGTGCAGCTCTCTGGACAAGAGTTGGCCATCTGCCTGAGACTTCTGGCACGACGGTCTCGTCTCCCACACCAGAGATCTCTAATTCTCGGATGTATCTTCCGATGTCCGGGCTGTCCTGCAAGAGAACTTTGAATGCATCTCCGCGACGTCCGGGGTGCACTTCAACGAAGCGAAACAGGTGGTGGCGGACTCTGGGAAGCCATGCCTTGCTGGTCAGACCGCATGTGCGTAACGCCGCAGTGTCGTTGCGGAGGCAGTCGATGATGAGGTCGCGCAGTTCTGATGGGAAGGGGACCATCTCCTCGGAACCACACTTTGCAATTAGGCTGCTGAAATGAATCGGTGCGAAAACGCGACGGAAGCATATGGAGGGCCTTACCCCGTTTCGACTGACCCGCAGCGACGTGTGCACGGCTGTGAGAGCCGCAGGCTGCGCACTTGACGGCTGGGTGGACAGGCTGGGCGGGGCTGTCGCCGTCGTCTGGCCAGACGTGGCCGTGGGAGGTGAGGATCTGCATGCAACCTGGTCGTCTGGGCGTGGACATCAACGCGAGCGTTTAGGACTGTAATGTCGGTTGAATTGAGGGGATAAAAGCGGGCTAAAGCGCCAGACGCCCATACCGACGCGTGACCCGATCCGCAATGCCGCCCACGAGCGCCGAATAGTCCTACGAATACAAGCCTCCTGCACGTCTCTCCTCACAACCTCGACGACGATACCACACCACGACAATGTTCTCTTCATTCTTCTCGTGAGTACATCAACTGCTCGCCGTTGACGCAGACTGAGGAGCTCAAACAGCACGGCGCCGCCAGTCGACCCGCATGCACCCAACTTCCATCCCGTGTCCGCTGGTCGCCTGTCCTCGGAGCTCTTCGGTGAGCTCGAGGCCAAGGATACGGAATGGGCATGTCCAGGAGGCTTTGCAGTCGAGACACAGATCTTTTACAACTTCCTGGAGGACGGCACCTCTGTGCTGCTCCAAGTAATTCACTCCTCGGTGGGGTTAGTAAGCTTTACGTCGTTGTATGCGCTCCCCCGTCCTGATCTCACTTCTCAGAGTATGGTATCCTACTATCCAAATCACCTCCAAGATTTACAACCCGAACACTGGCGAGAAGATCTGGAAATCCGTCAATGTCGCGAATTTCGTCACTCCTCCACCTGGCCTCGATAAGCGCTCTAGCAAGGCGGATCAGTTCTCGATCACCCACAAGAGCAACCCTGGCAGCAATGAGCCCGAGAAATACGTTGTGAACGCAAACTTGGGCGACGACCTCCAGTGTTCGTTCGAGGTCTCCCGCCCCGCCAGCGTGCCGGGCTTCAAGGTTGGCAAAGGCCCCAAAGGCGGCTTCTCCTATTTCGGACCTGACCTCGAAAAGCCTGACGGCTACGTTGTACACCGTTTCTGGCCCCGCACCGCTCTCAAGGGAATGATCATCCATAAGGGCAAGGCAATCGAAGCCAAGGGTCCTGGCATGTTTGTGCACGCGATTCAAGGCATGCGCCCGGATACCGTCGCCGCCCGCTGGAACTTCGCGCACTTCCAGAGTGACGCGCACAACGGCGTGAGCGCGATCCAGATGGAGTTCACGACTACAGACGCGTACGGAAAGAAGGGCGCCGGCTCCGGGTTCGTCACCACCAGTGTCGGCTCGCTCGTCCTCGGTGGGAAGCTAGCTGCTGTCACCTCAGAGACCAGGTACCCCGGCGAGGCGCAGGCAGACGATGCGGAAGTTATCTCGCGTGCGGTGCACTTGAGAACTGCGAAAGACGTAGATACTGGCTACGACGCCCCCACCGAGCTGGCCTTCAAGTGGGCAGCCCCTGCCTTGGGCGGGGAGGGGCGCGTCGATGCCAGCCTGCAGCTTGATGTCGGTCCGCCAACCGCGTACAAGGGTCTCGTTGAGAAGGTCGATGTCCTCGCGGAGATTCCATACGTCATCAAGACGATGGTGAATTACGTCGCTGGAACGAAGCCCTTTGTCTACCAGGTATGCTCGCGAGTTTACTGCGTTCATTGCCGCATGCTAACCCTACTCCCAGTGGTTCAATCCTGGCACGCTTCACGTCACTGGGCCCGATTCTCTGATACCTGGTCTCTCCCAAGGGGTGGACATTGAAGGAAGGATCTACAATGAAGCTACTTTCATCTCCTAAGCTTGTGCTTTCACCCACGTCATGCCCTGTATGTATTGTACGTTTCACGCACCCTGTACTATGTTTGTAAACAGACAAGGTTTATTTCTGGACGCCCTTTTGCATCGCACATATTCCCTACTACGAATGACTACACATTCCGACTTCGTCTTTACGCTGCAAGACTACATAGAAATGTGAATTAAATTGATGCGTGCCACCTTCTAAAGTACGATAACTACACGGAAGCACGGATGTGGGATATACGGACACGTAGAACAACCAAGAACGACGATAGTGATGAAACACAAACCCTTCCAAACATTGAATTATAGTACTGTTCCACAGCGACTGTCCTATCTTTACTCCTGAGACCCGACCCGCTCCCGCTGCTGTCGGAGCTTCAGCCGGGCAGCCTCGCGCTGGATCTCCCACTCGTGTAATTCCGCCTTGAGCCGCTCGACGCGGATGACGTTCATCGGGTGCGACGAGCTCACCCAGCGCATCGGTAGGCTCGTTCGCTCCCACTCTGAGTACGCGACTACGTCCTGTGCACGCCCCGGCGTGCACTCTGCCGTCCGCTCCGTTTCTTGACGGCCTTCCCAGAAGCGCACTGCCGCGCGCGGATCGAACCCGGCGTGGGCGAGCAGCCTGCACATGTGTAAGATCAGACTGCGGGCCTTTGACATTAGGTTGGTGTTACGGCTCACCTTGCGGAGACGACGTCCGCCTCGACTTCCTGTTTCTGACTTGTGCAGTATTGAGTCAGCTCCGTGAGGTGACCCGACCCGAGTTTTCCAACGCCAGCCAAGGCGTCGTTCACGAACGGCCCAACTGTCAAGAGGTCAGTGCCGGTTCGAGCCATGACAGATCAGCATTGTAGACGTACACAGCATGGTGATAGGGAACATGACAGCGCGTACGACGTCTGTCATGATAGAGATGACGCCGGGCCATATTATGGACCCCGAAGACAGTGTCTCCAGGTGATGCGAGAGAATCAGGTGCGACAGCTCGTGCGCAAGCAAAATCGCGAGCTCCTCTGTCTGCTCGCGCGTCGGGGCCGGTGGCTGCTGCGGGACGCTCGAAGGCAAGCCCCCGAACAGGGACGACCACCAGGACCGCTGCACCGGCTGGCCGTTGTCCTCGGGGAACGGGTGTTTTCGGATGACGTCGTCGATGAAGCCGCTGAAGACGACGATGCCGCCCCCGCCATCCGGGCCGAAGCCGTACGAGAACGCGTTGGACGAGTCTGGATTGTCGACGACGATGAGCGAGTACGGCGGGCCCGGGATGCCATGCGGCGACGGCGGGGCACGGCGGCCGCACGAGAGTTCGGCAAAGTTGCGCACCATCTCGGACGCACGCGGGCGCGGCCGCAGCGGGTAGTCGGCCGGCGGCGGGAGGGGCACGTCGCCGGGCCCACACTCGAGCCACCGCGCCTCGAGATCGTGCTCGTGCTGCAGCAGCGGGATGACGCTCTCGAGCTTGCGCAGGGTGTCGAGCACCCAGCCCATGCGCCAGTCGGTCGGCGGGATCAGCTTGGGCGTCGTGCCCTCCTGCGAGAGGATCTCTGCGACGGCTTGATACCACCCCGGCCCTGCAAGCTGCGCGGAGATCTCTTCCTCTTCCTCAGGCGAGAGTAAGATGAGCCGCCACCGTCCGGTGAGCGGCGTCCGCTCCATACTGGCCAAGATGGTCAGCCAGAAGATGAGGACGGGTATAGTGAGGAGGACGTTGAAGGCGATCGTCTTCTGCCTGTATCCTTTGACAGCTATTTTTGCCTTGATCTTCTCGACCGCCACCATGTCTCCTCTTTCCTCGGCTTTCTTGATGGCGTTCTTGACCTTCATGTTTTTGAAGAACACGAATGGTAAGAAAGTGAGTGCAATTCGAGCGGCGGTGCGGACTAACTCGAGAGCAGTGGAGATCTGCAAGACGAATAATCACTGAGCTCACCCAAGTCTCGCAAATTGAGTAGTAAGCTCGCACCTTGAGGAGACCGATAAGCGGCAATATGTGCAAGCCCTCAACACGAGAGGTGGCATGGAAGTATCTTGGGAAGTACCTTGTGGTCGTGATGCAAGCGGCAGCGGCGAAGCGGGGATGCCTAGCCTCGGCGGCTTGGAATGCATGGTATGTCTTACCGATTTGTGCGATGGGACATAGTGGGCTTCCACAACCTGGATACACTGTCCGAGAGGTGGTCAGCGGCCTTGTCCATGTCAGCAGCGGAGTCCTGTGTAGCGACGGGGAAAGTAGCCGAGTTGGTCGCGTGAGGGAGGTGCGTAAGGATGAGCGCAACATGGCACATCGTTTGCGCGCGGCAGGGCCTGAAATATCAGACAAGCGTGCGCCTGAGTGTGAGGAAACTGCAGTCGAAGACGATTTGGCTTTGACTCGGCCCCTCCAGTGGCGCAGGTTGCGGTACCGACACTCCTGTGACCCATGCCGTGAGGACGCGCAAACGAGCGGCACGGGCAAACGTGGCTCACCTCGTTCTTTACGTTTCCACTCGGTACGACGCAGAAATAAAATAAGCGGGAAGAAACACGGTCCCGCGAGCTGGCACTGACAGCCGTCGTCGTGCAGAGGTCGAGGTCGAGGTCGAGGGGAGAAGAGCATTGTCCGTCCCCTGTCGGGCTATCAGCTTGGCGCCGCGGTTGTCGGGGTCCTACCGCCGCCAATCAATGCATCCGTTGGGATCAGATTTCCAGATCAAAGCGCGCGTGATTCTTTCCAGGCATTTACTGTATCTCTTGCTTTTCCACATCTCATGGGCCGTGCACGGACAAAGTCTCGCAAAGCGCAGGCCGCTGCGGCTGTCCAGAGCAAGAAGGCCGACGCTGCACAGCAGCAACAATCCCCGCCAGCATCGGCCCTACTCGAGAAGGCGCAGACTCTGATCGTCCAGTGCGACTATGGCCTCGCGGAGCGGTTCGTGGACCGCATCCTCGAGCGGGAGCCGACGCATGCTGCCGCGAGGGAAATGCTCGGTGTCATATACTTGGAGACGGGGGAGCTTGACGCGGCGAGGAAGGTGCGTCCCCCCGCCTTGGCCTATACGCGGTCTCTCCGCTCATTGTGCAGCGTCCTATAGACTTTTGAAACCCTGATCCCTCCACACCCAGACGCACTCAACCCGCCCCCGCCTTCCGCACACTTGTACCTTGCTCAGCTGAGCGACGAAGACCCGCAGAACGCGCTGCGGCACTATCAAGCGGCCGTCGACATCATGGTCGCGCAGCTCAAGGGCAAGGAGCGCGCCGTCGATCTCGCCGGCGCAAACGATGATGAGACAGAGCTGAAGCAGAACGTCGTGCGTGCCCTCGTCGCCATGGTTGAGATCTGGATGGACCCATCGTACGACTTGTGGTGCGTACGCAAGTTTCTCTGCACTCGTGGCGCGGAGCGTTGAGCTTTGTGGGCAGTTTTGACCCGGCGGCGGAGAAGACGTGTGAAGAGCTCATCAACATGGCTCTGCAAGCTGACCCCGGGAATACCGAGGCTCTGCAAGCACTGGCGTCCGTCCGGCTGTCGCAACAGCGGCCGGACGAGGCAAAACAGTGCCTCGAGCAGGCGTGGACGCAGTGGAAGGACTTGGAGCCAGGTCCGTACCGTACGCTTTCGTGCAGCACTCCTCTCGCCTCATACGTTCGCAGACGACCACCGCCTGCCACCGATCCCGACCCGCCTCGCCCTCGTCAAGATGTTCCTCGAGCTGGAGCTCTTCGAGCCAGCACTACTCGTCCTGAGCGGCATCATGGCCTTCGACGATCAGGAGGTCGAAGCCTGGTATCTCGAGGGCTGGTGCTTCTTCCTCATGGCAGAACAGGCACAGGAGAACGGTGGCACACTGCAGGAGCTTGCCTGGGAGCAGCTTGCGCGGGACGCACGAGACTGTCTAGAGACGTGCAAGATGGTATGTCCTCCCTGTGAAAGCTGTCTGTATTATGCTCTGCTGACACATTGACATTTAGCTGCATGAGAGCCAAGAACATCCGGACACGCCTCTCCTCGAACACGCCAAGGAGCTCATTGCCAAGCTAGAGTCGCAGGGTGTACAACCGTCTCCTGAGGGCGGCGGCGACGAGGACGACGAGGACGGAGAAGGCGGCTGGGAGAACGTCGACGGCGACGAGGACGAGGACGTCGAGATGTCGCCATAGACCCTTTCCTCACACCTCTGCTACACGACTTCTGCTGCGCTGCTGCAGCCCAAAAGTACGCTATGTTAAACTTTCTTTCTCGCTTGAGCGGGACCACGGACACCCGGTGCACATGCCTGTGAGAATTTGCAAACCGCGTCGTGGGCCTGTGCCGATCAGACGTCGATCCATGCTCAGTCATCGCCGTGCAATGAGTAGGTTCGTGTGCATGATGACACAGTGCGGCGGACTCAGTGGGGCCGTGTACGCTTCCTGGGCGCGCCGACGTTGCAGGGCGCAGCAGGGCGACATTGACTAGACGCGGCTTGAAGCTTGACTCTCGGCCGAACATAGCAAGGAGGCAATAAACCAAGCAGCTTAGCAAGATACGGTATGGTCTCCACAAGTTCCCGACGATGTCCGACGATAAGCGACACACACACGGTCCCCACGAACTCGACAGCAGCGTAAAATGTAACAGATGTCAACCTCAGAGGTAGTATCGATCGCCTGCGGGCACCAATGAACATCAGACCGCAGTCTCGCACTGCGCCGGACGAACGCACCGATGTGGCCCATGCCGGGCTCGACGACCCAAACCTTGCGTCCGCGCGTCGCCACCTGCTGCTCGTCGGCGAGCGCAGGGCTGCCCACCGCGCCCACGTCTGTGCCCGGTGCGCCCCCCTGGGCGGGGGCTTCGAGCACCGCGAGCCAGCGCTCGCTGACGTAGTCGTCGGCCGCGCTGCACACGACGCGCACGCGCGGGAAGACGCGGCGGAGGAGCGCGAGCCCGCCGTAGCGCGCGACGAGGAAGGTGACGACGACGATGTGCTCCTGCGGCACGCCGTGGTCGAGCAGCACGCGGAGCGCCATGAACGCGGACGCGGCGGTGCCGATCTGTGTGTGCGCGAAGCGGGAGGGCGGGAGGGCGTGAGCAGGGGTGCGGGGACGGGAGAGGATGAGGGGCGTACCTGCGCGTCGAGGAGGAAAACGTAGGTGTGCTTCGCCCGGTGGCGTTCGCGGATGCACTGTGGCAGAGCGTGGGCCAGGAGCAGGGGTTCGCCCGTCTTGGGCTCGGACTGGATCAGCAGCGAGCCGATCGCGACGTTGTTGACCACTCGACGGAGACCTCGCTCCAGCGGACCGCCGCTTCTGAGGATCGAGACACCGCACAGCTGGGAGCAGGTCAGTTCTTGCTCTAGGTTACGCGTAGAATGGGCCTCACGTCGGCATCGAGCTCGACACCCTGGTAGTCGACCTCACACGGCGTGGTGACGGTTCTAGGTCGGTACGGCAAGTGTTCCATGGCCTTCTCTATCAGGTATGTCGCGAGTCTGTCAACAAAGAAGATAAAATCCCCGCGACTTGTCGTCCTGTCTCGCAGGATAGTCATGATACCCTTGTTCTGCGGTCAATGTCCAAAGTGATTGCTCAGATCTCGAAGACATACCTTCAATTGTGGAGTGTCCGGAGTGATGATCAGGTTTGACCATGGTTCTTCTGTCGGGATTAAGGGACTTGACTGCCGCGACGACAGCTCGCGTGGGCCAGCAAGTGCCATTTGCGCGCGTAAACGGCTCTTGCGGTTCTTCATCTGACGCTTCACGTGCGTGCAGATGAGGTCGATCGCGACATGGTTATCTGACCCCGGTACGATCTGCGACAGAGCATAAGTTTATAAGCACATACGTGAGATGTTTTGAGAGACCTACAATATCGGCGTACTTGGCGGTCGGAAGCACGAAGTTGTCGTACGAGGGCTTGACATACCGCAGATATCTCGTGAATCGTGAAGCGCACATAGAGAAGGTGCAAATGGATGACTCACTGGTCGAGAACCCCATCGACTGTCCTTCCTCGCTCTGAGACGTCGCGTCGGATACGTCTAGCAAGCATAAGATCGGAATCGCATTGCACGAAAATCTGATCCATGCGTGATATAAATGATTCTCGGACAATGCCAGACCTTCCGGGCTCACCTTCAAGTCATATAACGCTCTGTTCATCGACTTTAGAGACTGCACACGACCGCTAATAGGGATGTCTCACCTGAGCGCTGGGTCGTGTAGCGCAAGGATACCCTCGGCTTGAATTGAATCAGTACAGACAAAGACATGAAGCTGGATAGGACGCACTAATGATGACAGCAGCTCCATAGAGGTACTTTGTCTCGTCGAGCCGTTGGTGTTCAGAGAAAGAGTAGATGGGGATATTTGTTTGGTGACCTTGCTTCAAGTCCGCTAAACACTGCGTCCGCAACAGCTAAGTTCATCATCATGAGCTAGCGTCCTACGCCACGCACATCAACAAACAAGGGCATGTCGATGGCATCAGGGTGGTCAAAGTCTTTGCGGTTGGCATGTGCGAGTACGATCTGTTCTGGGGAGTTGCGTTTATAGAAGCTATCCTGTGGCGCGCACCGCTTGAGTTGCGGGGGATCGGAAGGCCGAAGGAGGCATACCTGGGAGAGAATGATGATGCTAGGAATGGACCCAAGTGATTGTACGATCTGGCGGGCGACATGGGTCTAACAAGACACGTCAAAGTCTTGTTACGGTGTCCTTGAGAGACAAGTCAACTCGGATACCTTGCCACTGGCAGAACCGCCTGGAGAGGAGTGAGATTCAAGGTGGGGGATAGCGCCAGGGAGGACGCACCGGCGATGCCGATGACGAAGGCGTCAGAAATACGTTGGCCATCTTCGCCATACCTGCATGGGGCCGAAGAAGACGGGACTCAGCATGACGGACCGATAGCTGACGGTCGCATGTTCGCACCATGGTGGGCGTCCATGCGACCCGAGGAGGGTGTTCTTCAGAGTCTGGAGCTGGATGCGCGGCGTCGCCTGGCCTGCGAGATCGGGGCTGGTTGGGGAGCGGAAGAAGGCGGGCCTGCTGGGGACATTGAGTGTCAGGGAGCCCGCGTCCTCGGACATCCCGAAGCGTCGTTCAGACGGTGTAGGCGACGCGAGCAGGGCGTCGATGACGAGTTCCTCGCTGGTTGTGTCGGGGCCAAAGCGACTGTGATATAATATATTGGTGCGGCTCTTTGTGGCGTCTGATGTCCACATATCACGTGCAGTCTTCAATGAATAACAGTACGATACTAGACGACAATTTTCAAAAATTTCTGAGATCAGTACTGCACAAAGTGCTCTCTATGCAGTTACAAAGTACTCTGCGATGCCCCTCTGTCGATGGCGCCGCCCACATACATAAGCAGGCATCGGATATTGTGCACAAGGGTCTGAAATTGGGGGACGGCCGATCTCTGCACTAATCACTTTCATCTCCCTCGTTGTCCTGTCCAGTCTGAGGAAGGGGGATCTTATGGCCGCCGCACCGGCCCATGATATT